CCTTCACCTCCTCCCTTTTGAATTCCCCTTCACCCTTCACACTTCCCACTAAATAAACCCATCTACAAACTTAACTCAAACTAACAACTTCAAGTTATAAAAATCTTATCACATCATCTCCTACATGCATCAAAAGCACATGAAAACTCTATACCATTTCTCATACAAGCTATTCTCCTAGCCTAGCCTAGCGTAGTCTAGCCATTGTACATCATTCTTCATCCATCTAAACTCAACTAATCTCTCTTGTCTCCCTCATTTTATCTCACCAATTTTCCTTTCGCTTAAACTTCTTCATTATAATCATATAATTAATCTCATCTGATGTTATTCCCAACCCTAGTGTACGCCAGCGAAGCCATTCATTTGTTCATCCATTCATGCCATTCCTTTTTCACACCCTAGCTCCAATTGAAATAACCATTCCCAAGCGATGCAATGAAATGTCAAAGCGAGTAGAATATAAAGGAAAAGAAAAATATATCCCAAAAATATCCCGAATCAATTCCACAAACATATTCTTTCCAGCAAAATACATATAATAATTCCGATAGAAAAAAATAGCTCAAAAGATCAAGCCAAATACCGGTATGTTGGAATATTAGCGTCTTCAATTCTTTCCAGATATTCTCTTTCAATAAGACTTTCTATTCTTCGTTTCATCATGTTGATATTTGGCTGGAAGCGTTGTGAAAGTTGAGAGATGACTTCGGCGACAAGTTGTTGATGAGGACATTCCTTACGTGCCCTATTATTCTTACTTAGTATAGAGCATCATCTCATAATTAGCAAATGAAAACTTACTTCATAATTCGCACAATGACCGTGTCCATGACACTTCCTCTATGCTCATCATTTCTTTCCTCGGTTTGTCTTCTCTCATCAGCTCCTTCAACCTTGCTTGATTGTCCACCTATTGGTTGAACTTTAATCTTGACAGTTTTGCTGACGAAAGAACTATTCAATGTGAAGGTATCGCCCATTTTAGGTAATTCGTTAGGTTTCCCAGGTTTCTTAAGAAGAACTCGAGATTTTAGTGGACCAGAAAGTTGCATAAGAGCACGCGGTAAGTCTTTATCGGTAATATTCAAACGTTGTTGTATTTCTTCATACAACAATTCTTGTCCATCCTGTAAATCATTGAAAAGCATCAAAATGATCATGCCATGAGTATTGACATTCAACTCGTACTTCCGCTCCCTACCCTTCGCCCCTGTCTCACCTGGAATAGCTGGAAAATTACAACGAATATCAGCATTACCTAGATTTCCTAACCAGGTTAACATTCGGCCATTGCGATCTTTGAGGTAAAATGCTTTGAAAGAATCTTGTAACTTTTGCAATTGAGGAGGCCAATTGCAAGATTGTCGAGGACCTTCCTCTTGCGATGGAATACCACCAATGATTTCCGTAGGCCAACAATTCGTAGAGAGAACAATAGCAGACAACTCGATTTGGTTCTTATCTTTATCTCCGAGATTATTGATGTGATTGCGATAATTAGAACTAAGTTCTTCAGACATTGTAATGTCCTTAAACATGCCCTCCAGTTTTGTCGTAAACGAATTGCCAATTTCTAGTTTCATCCTTGAAATCATTTGCTTCTCGACATCGGTACTTTCCGACTTGTTGAGTAGTAAACGTTTCGCAAGATGTTTTTTGTAATATCTCTCAAACATGTCTTTATCCTGAATATATCGGAGTAAAGTAGTGGCCTTATCCAGAACTTCATCAATTTCAAGTTCGGTTTTGCCCTTGATTCCACGCTTGAGGTTGTCATCGATGAACAGGGAGACGAATTCGGAACATCGATCAAAGAGATTAATGAAATCGGAAAAGCTTTTGGTGATAGCTGTTTGTAGGATGAGATCTTCCATAAAGCACGTCCTCCACATATTGTCAAACTTATCCTTCAATCGTAAAACCTCATCAACCCACTTGATGGCTGCAAGAGTTTGCTTCGCAGCCGCATTCATTGGTTTGACCTTCTTCTTCGAACCTTCCGCATCCTCCTCTTCTGCTTCAGCTTTGTTATCTTCTGCTGCCACAGAACCACCGAAATCACCATTAGAGATGATTTTGTTGATTTCCAACCCTAGCTGTACCACACGAGCTTGTAGTGCAACCTTCAGTGGATCTCTGCTTGGATCTATGCGACTAATGAGTTGATATAAAATGGCCAAATCATCAAATCGATCATTTTCAATCATTGCTTGCAATCCACTTCCCTCCATCGCAAGAAACTCATTCAGATGACTGCTGATCAATTCTTGCTCGACAACTTTATGAATTTTCTTGATTGTGAAACTTGAAATAGTCGTGTCACACCGATCACTCTCCTCATCTAGGCGCCTTTTCGTTTGACGTAACCAAGTACTTGCAGGAGAATCCCTCAACAATGTTTGACATTCGGCTTGGTAAAACTTCCTGCTAGCTACCAAAAATGCTGGTTCAAAGACAGTAAGATATAGCTTGTCACTCTCGTTCTCCTCGTCGGTTTCGTAGAGACCTTCTAGCATGTAGATAACAGAACGGATCAAATGTCTATTGATGACATCTCCTTCTCTTTCCATTCCAATTTGGTCTAATATAACCGAATTTAGAATATCGAAAGTGATGATGCTTGAGTTTTCTAACAGTGGTGAACGAAGAATATGATCTCGAAAGAGGCCCATGGAAGTGATGTAAATGGAAGCCTTACGATTGTCGCTACAATAGACACGATCCATATACATGAGTACATCTGCTGTCATACTCATACAAACATTATGATCCGTCCATGAAGCTTTCAATCCTTCCAGAAATTGCTCGCCGGTAAGTCTCCGTTCGTTTGCCGCGGTTCCAGAAACACCACCGGTAGCCACATTAACCAAGTTTGTAGTAATAAGTTTCCTAATAGCCGGCATCACTTTTCCTGCAAACCATTGTTCCTCGAAAACTTTGACCCTATCATAAAGTAGATCCCCTTCTTTCTTCATAACGATTTTGTAAGATGCTCGATAGAGTTGTTCGAAAGAGAGTGTTCCGGCATTCTTTTCGTGAATCTCTTGGAGGGCATTTTGTAAAATATCCCACTGAATCTCGAATTCATTTTGTGCTCCCGCGCGTCCGAAAGCCTATTGTAAAGGAACATAAAAAAGTCAGCCGAGAACGAAGAAAGGGTCAGATATGTTTGCGATTGAAGGAAAAATGCTGCAGGGCGGACTACCACCTGACTTGGTTTCAAGGCATGCGCAATCGCAGAATCAAATAACTGTGCTTGAGGAGGAGTCATCTTTGATTACTCGATGCTGCACTTTGTACAAATGAAGCTTTGAAATTTTATGTGGATGTATTTGTGGATGTACTAGGTATTATCGTTCACAAAAAAGAGCATATGAAATATTGAAGTAAAAAGGAAGTGAATTACATACCCTCCGAGGCGCACGAATCCTCGCTCTACCACGCCCTGAAATCATCTTCGAGAATATTCAGCTTCCTCTTGAGTGTTTCAGTCCCCCGAGGTAAAAGAATCCTTATGCTGAATCTCCAGTAGTGAGAATAAATCGAAGTTCCCTCGATATTGTATGGCGCGGCGCGGGGTTAGATAAGATCTAGGCTTCGACAATTGCCATGTAATTCTGTCAAGGCGGATAATAACCAAATGAGGTAGAAGAAATTTAATACGTTGTAGAAAATCTGAGAGAATGTGCTTGACTGTAAGAACATAAGAAACAAGAAAATGAGTTCTTAAGAAGGCAAAACAATGAACGAACAAGTTCTTGAAGGTTCAAATTCGAGACTGTGAATAGTTTCGGATTCGGATTAACTACTGCCGTACTTGATGGCCCTAGGTTTAGTTTAGTCACCCATAGTATTCTGTCACTAGTCCTTGATAGTAAAGGCGGCGAATGAAATCTGAAGCTGTATATCGGGTATATAAAAATCATCTCAAAGAATATTATGGGATTTATACTGTTCTAGAAATTTATTATAAATGTAACAATAGCTGTATTGCTGTAAATGCCAAAAGGCTTTGAAAATACTGATAAATTAGTTATAATACAATAAACCTCTCAGCTCTTCTAACTACATTTCATTTCTACTAGTACTGTACTAGTAACCTACTCCATTTTTCTAGCTCTTCCATAGCCTTACACTTACACTTCGTCATTTCCGGCAGAATCATGAACAATAAAAGGCGGTGAAAAACAACTTTACCAAATTCTGAAGCCTTCCCCAAACTTCCACTCCATCAAGAACTTTTACTCAAAACCGCTTTTCTCGCAACTCATCCAACCAGTTCCCCAATCCTCTTGAAACAAGTCTCTACGAGCACACGAAGCTTCCGCGATTCCAAATCTCCAACCAAATCCCTCTATTCCCATCCAATCAAGAATCACGACCAGCCTCAAAAACACAACAAACCTCACAATGTCTCTCAAAATCTCTCCCTTCTCAGCCTTTCGCACTCTATCTCTCTCACGCCACACAACTTGTAAGGCAGGCCCTCGAATCTGCGCATCAAAACCAACACAAACACTCTTCCCATCCCACAGCACACAACCCAGCACCCGCGCCTACGCCACCAAACCCCTCACCTCCCCCCCCTCCTCTCCCTCTCCCACTCCACCCCGCGCCCCCCAACCCTCCTACGACTTAACCTTCACCTGTACACCCTGCTCAGCGCGCAGTACACACCGCATATCAAAACAAGGCTATCATTCCGGCTCTGTACTCATCACCTGTCCCTCGTGTAAAAACCGTCATGTAATATCAGATCATCTAGGTATCTTTGGTGATCGCAAGTTAACGATTGAGGATTTGATGAGGGAACAGGGGATGCTTGTTAAGAAGGGGACGTTGAGTGAGGATGGGAATTTGGAGTTTTGGAATGATGGGACGAGGACGGAGAGGAAGAAGGATAATGATGGCATGGGGAGGGGAAAAGAGGGAGAAGGGAATGCGGGGATTGGAGGGCCGGCGAATTAGGAGATACTGGGGATTGTAGGGTAGTGGGGAGGTTTATTGGATGCTTGTGATCCAGATATGGACTGGAAATCTCGAGACCTACTGGCAAATATCCATCGCAGGAGCCACTGTAAATAACCAACGACTAGACGAAACCCTCAAAGGCAACCTCAACGAAAAACCAACATCGGAAAAACATCCCGAAATACCACACAACCACAACCAACAACCTCAAACCTAGCAAGACGAAGTCTTTGTACAAAACTTCAAGCATCATGAATTGAACCATATGAGAGAAGTTCAGGAATGTATGATACCATACACATAAAGTCCGTATAGAGCACGACTCCAACAAAACAGAGACAAATTTCTCTTCCCTCACAAATTCATCTCTAATCTACCTGTATTGAATCGTCCGAAAGATGTGGGAAATATGTATTTATAAAATGATAAAATAGATCCGAAGCTCTATTCTATATCAATACCTACTAGTTACTAGAAGACAAGACACATGCCGTAGGAAAGAGAATGACTCGGGAATGTAATCTTACGATTGAAATGCCATGTACAAATAAATAACATGTCCACGGCATGATGAACAATGACATAAATTCTGCTCTGAAGCACTAAAACACTCAAACATATACTAAATAATTACTAGTATTCTTCTATTCTACTCTCCAATGCCAAACTATCAATCCTTTCCTTCATAAAAGATACAATTTTCCTACCCATCAACTCCCCTTCTCACCCATAACACCCCCAATACACAAAGCCCATCCCATCCCATCCCATCAACACAACACAGCACAATTCACCCAAAACCCTACCAAACATTCCTCTTCTTACTATATTCCGCACCCCTTTCCTTCCTTCTCTCCTTCTTCCTCTCCCCCTTCCTCCTCTTCTCCTCCCCAAACCTCTCTGGCTGACTAACGGCCGCAATCTTCCTCTTTCCACTCCGCATAGCCCTCCTCTCCTTAACAACCTCTCTAACCTTCAACAACGCATCGGAATACTCCTGAGTGCCTACTCTCTTCTTCAGCGTCTCGAGTAATTCTTCACTGGATGTCTTGAGCGCTTCGTAATTACTGCGGAAGAGATCATCGGTGGAATAAGGCATTGGGATCGAGGGATCCGTCAAATTATGTAGAGGAAGGATGATGGTGCGGAGGGATGGAATTAGGGATTCTGGTTCGAGTTTACTGCTGAGGATTTGGAGGAGTTGGAGTGCCGAGGTTTTGGGGACTAAGGCGGATGCTCGAGGTGGTGAAGTTTCTCTTCTTAATATGAATGATAAGCGTCCGAAAAGATATTGTAGAGCTGTGTTTTGAACAACTTCTTCCTCATCCTCAGCCTCAGCCTCAGCTTCCAAATCTTCCTCTTCGGCGTCGGCTTTTTGAGATGATTTCCATTTCAGATTATTGGAACCGGCGCAGCGACCAAGGAAGATGAGATTCTTGACAATTTCCTCTGCGAGTAATTCGGTAAGTCCGGGTGTTTTATACATTCCAACTATGCGGCGAATGAAATCAGAAATGTCATCGCCAGTGAGTTTGATGCCACGGGATCCCTTAAGAGGCAAACCTTCGAGGCCAGCTTCAGCATTAGTTCTTGCATAGTCTGCAAAGTATGTACTGATAAGCCTTGCTGAGGATAATTTAACCCATGCATGAGGGTATGATAAGCATACTCGTACAGCTGACCATAAAGCTGATGTCTTAGAAGAGAAGAGTGTATCGGGAAATTTCTGACACATCGTCGCAGTAAGTTGGAGGGCTGCATAGATTAACTCCCAATCTGCTTCATGATCGCTTGCTGTTTCAATGGTCTGAGAAACAGATGCGAGTAGGATTTTGACATCTGTATCTTCCACTTCGGATTGAGAATTATAGTAGAATCCATACGTTTGTAAGGCCAACCTAACAACTGAAGTATTCTCGGTTTGCTTGATCCATGATCGAAGGAGAGTGAGGAAAGTCGTCATACGTTCCTGGTCAGCTCTCTTGAAGATTTCCTTGAGAACTTCTCCCGCTGCCATGCGGCATTTCTCACTGTCATCATTTGCAAGAACAAAAATCAATGGCACAAAACATGTCGCAGAAACTTCTTGAACAAAGTCATGCGAAGACTTCGACAAAAGTAGGTGAATGACTTCCAGTATGGACAATCTTCCACCTTCCCTATCGTACTTCAAATTTGCAACGATGAATGCCAATTGCTTTGTCCATCGACTCTTTTTCTGCGGGAAATCTCTAAGAAACTGGAAATATGCACCACGTGCCAAGTCTCTAGTATCTTTGTCGTCATTTGTTACCATCACTGTACCGACGTAGTCAAGAATATCGTATACTGCTGCAGTCTCGACCTTGGAGTCCAACACGGCTCTTAAGAAATTAAATGTAACATGGCGTCGCTCTGGCTCTGTCATATCATCCTTCATTCTCTCTAGGATATCATCAACTGATCTATCCTTAACAGGAACATCTCTACGGTCTCTCAGAACAGCCGAAATTAATTTTAGAGCAGCTTGAGCAATATCCGAGGTGGTCGAAGAAGATCCAGATATACATTTGATAGCTTCAGCTGTGGCGACTCGGTAAAGATTTGTCCCATCACCGTCAACTTTCAGTGGTACCTTGACAATTGTACTAAGCAGTTTGAAAGTCGCAACTTTGATTTCCTCCTCTCCTTGATCGACTGCATCACCAATGATTGGGATGAAGCCTGCGAGATTACTGGGTGTTCGGAGACTATCGTGCTTCTTGAGAACGGACCTCATAACGTCAAAGGCAAATCTGACAAGCTTATAGGT